AAATAACCATTTAGTTGTAACCCTCTTTCGGTGCAATTCCACGCGAAGGAATCACAAAGGCTGGTATGCTGCCAAGTTCTCCAAGCCTAAACAGGAGAAGTAGAAAGGCAGACGATGGGTTCGAATCACGGACCTTTCGGTGAGTAAATTCAGACTCTAAACACTGAGCCATCTCGCCCTGAACCATCACACACTGGTGAGTAGCCCGACGGCCACACTACAGATGGATTACAACGAAAACACAAGTCGTGTGGAATGCAACGCGCCGAAAGTAATCCCAATCTGAGAAAGGGACGCAAGGTCGTCGAGTGAAAATCATCGCAGTATTACCCTGGTATCCCGTGCAACCAAGGCGCAATCTGGCATCATTTTGTGCAACCCCACAGGTTGCTGTGAGAGAGGGGAAAAACAAGTCATCCAGCTATAAGACCCCTTTGGTGTCTAGCTGCCATGTCACCCGAAGAAAACACGAGGGCTAAGATACTGACAGGTTACCCAAGCCTACACAGGAGATGTCGAGAGGTCTAGGTTGGGTTCTAATGACCGACCCTCCGGTCAGTAAATTCGCGCTCCAACCACTCAGTTTCAACCTCGATCCCTATTATCAGGAAGGTCAGATTCCTTAAAGCAATCTCAGAACGCTCGGAACCTACTGCTCCACCAAAAACTCAACAGAAAAGCCGGCAAGCATCCAGGCTAGTCAATCATTCAATCAATTCAGCAAAACCTGATGCGTGTTGTTGCACGCCACGGAAGCACGACCGAATGTGATCAGCGTTCAGGCTTTTCACAGAGGCACGATCGATGTTAATGGGTGTTCATTAACGCCTATCAAACAGCCTGGATCAATGTCAGAAAGTCCCTTTTAAATAGCGTGGGGCCGTTGTAACTTCCACTCTCGCACTCGCACGCACTCACGCTCTCACGCTCGTTTGTTCGGAATATAGCGGTTGTGTTCCCTTCTGTGAGTCTTTTTTCCCCGGCACTAGGCACTGGAGCGGGTCAGCAGCAGATACCACAGATTGACGAATCAGTAGATATAACACCTATCATCTCCCGCAATGTCTCGGGCCAAGCGCAAGGGTCACAAGGATCGCATCCTGGAAGGTGTACAACACCAACAACACCCAAAACTTTGCAGTATCTTTTACACCCTTATGCCAAATCATACGTTGGTCATAATGTGGTTTGCGTCATTCTGAAGCAGGAGCGGTGAACGAAACTCGTCTCGGTAGATGGTGTTTCGGAATGCGTAGCACATGGCCAAGCTCCCGGAGTTGATGTTGCTGGATGTTTCCAGCGATTGCATTACCTGCTGCACAATCAAATACCTATTTTGTAATTACCTAGTTACATATTCATTGGCGCCATCGGACACCAGCAACGCTTGTGAGGCATTGATGTTCAAAAACCTGAACGCGCCCTGCCCCACTTGTCCAGAGAAACCGTCAAGCAACTACACAACAGCATAACCCTTACCGTAACCTGGTACACGCGACCCTCGATACCCAGTAATATACCGTTTTTAAGCTACAATTGACGCAAAGTAGCAAAACTGATTCCGGCCTCTGAGATTCGTGCAGTGATTTCACAAGGCACTTCCATCAGGGACCAATACAACTTCCGAGGTACGCGAAACTCCACACACGTCTGTTTTTCCCTAAATTCTGAGAATTATATTCAAAAACTGCACGTCCTGAAGGACGACTGTGCACTTTGAAGTTACGACGCGCATGTTGAAAGATGGTATGACGGTAGTCTGTTCGTTCAATAGGTCATCATCATCATCATCATCGTGGACAGCATGACATCGGTGTTTAACGCTGATGCTTTGCTGCCGTATAATCACAATTTACTTGAGTCTTGTTGCGAAATAAATAATAAAGGTGGATGGGGGTGGACTTATTGTTTGCGTACTACAAGCATTCCGAGTTGCCTACACCTCCAGACACTCATCCAGGTAATTTGGATAGAAACTGACAACAAGGACGGCACTGACATCGACTAGCAGCCATATCTCAAAAACGTCATTGACATCGATTAGCAGCCATATCCTGCAGCATCTACTGCCAGACGCAGTGGAGACTACTCGCCTATCCTTGTAGGCGAGTAGCACCGACAGCACCTAGGTGATGGTTTGGCCACCTCCTTGCTCCTGCCACTCCGAGTTGGGCACGGAACAGAGCGCTCACTTCGGCAAACGATGGTTCGCCATGTGCAATATATGGCCTAAATAATAGCTGCTGGTGCTGGGCACATTCTTCGATGGAAATTCCCGTTGCACAGCCAAAAACTCGCTTTCTAAATGCCTCTTTACGGATTCCCCGATATCAACCCACACGAACTATGCTTCTGAGACAATGGTTACCGAAGACCTGAAGATGTCTCGGTTCCGCTGCTCGAACAGGCCCGGTCTCACAACCGCGCTATTGCGTAATGAGTTCCTTGAGATTCAGGGATATGCCCCTTTG